AAGAGGAAACAACCAATCAAGAAGTTCCCTTCACAGGATGAGCTCTTTCTCCTGCCCATCTGCTGTTGACACCATGCTGAAATAGGCATTTTAGCCAGCAGGCTGGAGGTCAGCGAGGGCCACTGCTCCCTGACCAGATCGAGGACTTGGGGGAAGGATAGTAGGGAAGGTTTCAAGGCTGGTACTGCCTACAAAAGGAATGGGAATGTGAAGACTGCAAAGAATTTGTCCTTAGAGATTCAAGAGTCCTTTAGGGAGGGATCTTCTGCTAACAGACATAGTATTAAGTTCAGAGCTGCATGTGAAATGCGCGTGGTAGTCAAGTGAAATGACAAGATTAAAGTGAGTCCAGAAAGTCTGGAAACAAACGCTTTAGGGTATGAACAGCATTCCTCATCAGCTGCAGGTCAGCCACAAGTCTGAATACATTAGAGTGATGCCTCATGTGGCCACAGTTTTGGTTCAGTTCTTTGGTATGTCAAGAGAATACTACCCTCTCCAACGCTGGTACGGAGGAGGCCTTTCTTATACTTCAAAAGGTGCTATACAAGGATTGGGCTTTACAATTCTTCTCTCACTCTAACCTGAACAGCTACTAAGAGGTAGATAAGGAAGACATTACAAAACATAAGAATTAATTAGTATGAGCACATTCCAAAATCAAATCAATATTTAGAAACTTTGGTCTGTACTTCACACTAAAGGTAGAGCTGCAAACAGTTTACATATACTTATGACACAAAAATTGTAAAGACATGAGCAGTATTTTTCAAAAAGTCTATAGGCACTTTAGAGGAGACATAAGCATACAGCTGACTTGCTGTGACTCTGCAATAAACTATTAATCATTTATTGAGTATCCATTAATCATTAAGTCCTCATTAAATTTTTATGAGTGTACTCTTAACAAAATCTATACCCAGGCTGTGAGTTTGAAAATTTCATAATTGTTTTTGAGAAGCTCTAGTGTAAGGCTGGCCAGCAGCTCTCAATATTGCTTCACAGAGAAACGATGAGAACCCCGAATACTGTTCTTAGCCTTCAGAAATCCAGTCTGTGGGTTCAGAAACCCATTGCTGTGTGGCAATGAACAGGGTTTAGCAATGTTTAATTTGGGATTTAGCTGAACGGAAACAAAAAATCCAATTAACCTTTTTGCTCATGTGAGTCTGATTTTGTTGAACGCTGAAGGATCACTGGGGTGGTGGTTAGAATACTTTTGACTAAATTACATTTTGTCTAAATACAATGCTCCACCAAAGCCAAAATATTTCTGAGATTTATCAGATTAAATGAGGTTTCACAGTGCTGTACTGCATTCCCTGAGTAATTCAGAGGGTTAGGACAGACACTTGTTCAGGTCTCACCAGGGAGAGAGGACAGTAAAAAAGCCTCAATACACAGGGACTGGAACGAAAAAAAATAGGGTTCCAGAGACTTTTGTACGGAAAAAATACCTGAAAGGTTTCATATTGGTTCCAATGTAGTATAAAAATAAATGTAAAAACCTCAAAATTGGTTGTCAAACGGGAGTTGTTATACTACAGGCAAATGTAATCACTGGACTGAAAATAGCCTTGCCAGGAAAGCTGACATCAAGATTAGTTTTGGAGAGTGTAGCAACACAAAAAAAAAAAAAAAAAAAAAAAAAAAAAAGAAAGATTCAGTTTATTCCTTTATCTAGACAGTGGCTGCACATGCAATGAATTCAAATGTGATCAGAGTTACCCGACAAGAATTACATATTTCACGCTAGCAGGCCACCCACAGCAGGTATTTTAGCAGCTATCTCAAGTATCCTTTAATTCTGGAAAGATCGGGCTGTTGAAGTCTGTATCAGAGTGAGGAATTCCTCAGACCAGGGGCCAATGCTTTCAAGAGATCTTAGCTCCAGCAACAGTGCTAACAGTTTTCAAATCTCAACATACCTTTATAAATTAGAAATTAGAAGAAGACAGAAAAAGGATCATATTCCTACACCTCCATCATGAAACATCAGGCAGACGCCGAGTTCCCTTAGAGCCTCAATAGAGTATGCTTGGATCATTTTAATTACGCACTCACTGCTGACAAGCTTGCTCTTTATGTATTTATTAAAGATGATTAAAAATAGTAAAACCTGTATTGTTTATATCATTTATGACAAATCATGACTAATCGATTTAAACTGCGTAATTCAAGTGATATAAAATTAAAGCCTCCTGGTTATTCTATTGAATTTTTCTAATCACACACAAAAGATCATTTACACTCCTATTCACGCCATTACAACATGACACAGAGGGTATTTCATCTTACTTTATCGATCCTTTCTTCATACAGTTGTGGAGACTAATCCACAATTCTGCTTGCTTACACTGGGTAAATGCAGGGCACTTTTCCACAGTCTAATTAGTGAGACAAGAGGAAAAGGGCCTGGTCTGTTTACAGTGCCTGCTTTGCCAGTCCGTACAGCAACTACATCTATCAGTTCAATTTCAAATAATAAAAAAGACAGACCTCCATGCTAATTAATGCTCAAAATACATCTAAAACCAGCACCAGCAGGAAGCTGACTCAAATGTCATTACCAGACCAGATTTCCTGTCTTGCTTCTATTAATCGCCATTGGGCTGGTTCCATCTAGGCCACACCAGGTTAATCTAGAACTAATGATTTTGGATCTCTGAATACTGTCTAACTTAGGATGGCACCGAGGTAGGTTACATCATCACACTGGAGGCTCCACTTGTCAATACCTGTAAAATTTTTAATTCAAATCACCACTTCTGGTCAGTTGCAAGCAAATCTGCAGTAAGATCTCTTGCTTCAAGGTTAACCAGATGAATTTGATGCAATACTTTTTCTTCGTGAACAGTGAATCTTACATTGCAAATACAAGCAAAACTATAGTAGTAAAACTGTTCACTTTTCCTGGAAAGCTCAAGTTACAATCCTTTGACAGCACAGGCATTAACATAAACCTGGGGACAGCATTCCATTAGCAAAAAGGATTGTTTGCGGCTATGACTTTTGGCTCATAACATTTTTGGGAATCTGGATAGGTTACCTCATCAAGTGTTTCCATTTCTTAGCTGTTTAGATAAGTGAGCTTTCAAACACTTTCACCCTCTCTAGGTACCTTTGACATTACTGAAAACATTTTATGTGCAGCTCTGTACTTCAACATTCACCTGTTTATTCCAAGTGAGGCAGGACATGGAGCAATTCAAATCTCCCACACCCTGACTAATTTGCTGTGTTTATTCTTCCCATCCAGTCTAAACATAGCAGGCAGGTGAAGAGGTGAAGAGCTGCCCAATGAACAGTACTGCCACTTCCCATGATAACCCTAAAAATGCCTGATCATCCTGCAAACCAAACTATAAACTCATAGGACCCAACCATTTTAGCAGGGCCAAAGGTTTGTGCATATGGCTTTGCCTATTTCAAGTGCTGCTGTACAGCAACCAGCTCCATACACCACCTGTTTCTTAATGGATGCAACTGGATGCAGAGATAAGTGCCATTTCAGTTGTGTTGGTAGGTGGCCATTATGCTTGAAAAGCTGCCCAAAATTATGCTTGGGTGGGAAGAGGAAATGTTAAATGCAAGAAAATGGAGTGCAGCACAACCCCACCACGCCGATCCTTTTCCATATCTATGCTTGGGAGAGAAGTGTATGAAATTGCTTCATAAAAACACTCAAAAGAAAAGCCAGAAAAAGCGACGACAAACTACCTCAGTTCATATTTTTTCAAACTAGAGAGGTGCACTCAAAACAAGCAAGCCTCGTGCTGCCTGCAGTAATAAAATCATGAAGGCATTATTATAAACTGTATTTAACCAGGAAAATAACTATTAATATAAAATTTCACTCCTTACTTGCAAATTAAGCAAAATCATGGAAGCTGCAATAAACCAAGTTTAGAAACAAAACACAGCCCTGTGATGAACACATCATCCATCGTATTATACAGCTACAGTGATTTCACATGCAGTTGCAGTGCCACAAGTGGATCACACTTTGGAAGAGAAAGATGAAATATACGTACTTACATGGCATCGCATTACATAAATACTGCCAAGTTATTTCCCTAATTAGTTCAACACCCTATCATCAGAGTCTCTTCCACTGGGTTATCTCAACTATATTCTCTGAAACTGCAAATTCAAAGCCTGAATTTTGATTCAAATAATGTATTTAAAAATATTTTTGAAGTACTTAACAACAGATTTAGAAAAGGGAAAGAAAAATGTTTATATATTTCTTCTAAGATGAATTAACCAAACACATACTCAAAGGCATACCCATACGTGAGGCCACCATACTGAGGCAACATCACCTGTTGAAGAAACAGCAGGTGATAACACGTGCACATGAAATAGAATTATTCAATGTGTAGGCTGGGAAAATTCTATCACAAAGGAAAAAATGAGATTTTTTGCAAAACGTAAAGATAAGCCTGTTTTTTCATGAAAGTGTTGGTGTTAGTTCTTAATCAAGGATTTCAACATATTAATTACCTGATTCGCACACTATGGAGCCTGGCTTCAGTTCTAACATCATGGTGATTATAGAGATGTCAGTGGAATACAGAATCTGTGTCCTGTGCGGAAGATTCATGGTCCAGAGTTCTGGAGTTGGATGAAGAATAAACACCCATCCTCCTTTACTGCAGGTCACTTTGGAGCCATACTTCTTGCCTATGAGGTCCGTGGAATGCCTGATGACCCCGTACTTAGTCTGAGTTACAGTGCCATGCTGGACTTTCACAGGAAACATGGATTCGTGGCCCAGAAACACTATAGCTGTGTCACCATCCTTTATTGTATCTCCATATTCAACAAAACTCATTGCGACAGTCTTGCAGTTGGCTGATGGTTGTCACCTAGAAGAGAATAAGTATGTCAAGAGACTTCTGCAGGATCATGATGGAGCTGAAACTACAGACATACAACGAAGTAATTTTATTTTCCCAATACAGTACAAAACCCCACTGTGCAAATAAGATGTTAGCAAGAGAACTCCATGAAGTTCAGGGACCTCCCTCCTGCTGCACTCTTGATCCAATTAAAATCAATGGAAAGATCCCACAGATTTGAATATAACCAGTATTTTTCCCATTTTATGGTATGTTTTAAACAAAATCGAGGAAATGCATTATAATTTACTCAGCCTGCTCCACACTACTACTGCGAAACGTGCAAGGCACTATCAATTTCAGCACTCTGCTCAATGCCAGTTCTCAAGCTCTCAGAGTATGCTGTTAAGTAGTAACTTTTATTTCCATCTGCTGGCTTATCCCTTGATGATTTACAACATAAGACAACTGCTACTTGCCTGGATATCAATCACTAGTTATCAGGACCCCTAAGAAAAGTTTACTTGAAAGTCTTCCAAATGAAGGTTTCGAGACAGCATAAAGGTAATAACTGCATTATTTTATGCATAAATTTGACTAATTACAAGGAAAAAGGAACATTGTGGCCTTTAATTTGCCATTGGGGGTGCAAAGTAATTGTCTGGGAAGCGATCTGTGCTGCAACGAAATGGAAACAACCATTTGCAAGCTAATGCAAACAGTTGTAGCACTTTAGTCCCATGGTTACAGACCTGTTGAAAGAATTACAATTAAATTTTGTTGTCTTTGAGAAGTCAATCTAGAAATGAGAAGGCAGCTTACAATGAAACCTGGGATTGCCATTTGGAGAAGGCGGCTAACAATTCTAAGCTTCAGGTTGATCAGTTTGTGGAAGGAATTGTTTAATGAAGCAATGGTGATCCCAAAGTTAGAAATTATAGCCTATGACAAAAGGCTTTGAAAATCAGATTTCTGGTACTTCTTCCATGAGAGAATTAAAAACAGCGTCACTTTTAGTTTCAGAACAATGATTTAATTCCAGTGCTTTTGCACTGAATGTGAAACAGCTTGGTCTCACTTCATCGTTTTCATTAAAAACTTTTAGATCTCAAATTCTAGTGTTTTTGTTGACTAAAACTCATTATAGTTCAATTTCTTGTTAAGCAGCTAGATTTATAATTTTTCCGCTGCAGTCACTGAGACTGTGGCTTGTGGCCAAAACTTCCAAAGCTTATGACATGCTTATTACATAAGGTATTCAGATGCCAAAGCAGAACAGGCCTGTCTGGACACATGGTGAGGGCATCCCATGAATTCATAAATGTATACATACTGGACTTTGTGAGATAGTGCGAATGCTTAACCGTGTTTTATAGCTTGCACATTCCTGTCTTAATCCTTCATAAATGACACTTTGGGTTCTCATTCTAGATACTACTAATGCATTACAGCTTTCAGCTCTTAGTTAGAATAGTACCATTGGAAAGCAGCTTGATGGTAATCCATTTCTGTCATGGCACTCAGACTGTAGTTACACCCATGTGCAAAAGCAACATTCCTGCAGCATGTCTGCAGGGACATGGTGAGAATTATTCTCCCTTTGATTACACAAACTGGCTTCCAGTTTCTTTGCCTTCCTTTGAGCCGCTACTTGGCACAACTACTTGTCACATCAGTGCACGCGGACATCCCAAGCGACAGATCTCTCGGGCTCAGATCTCACCTAGCATGCTATGTTCATACACTTGGGATAAATTTGGGGTCTGTGAAGAGTTCTGGTAGTTTCTTTGTCTCCCGCTATAGCAAGGAGCACAGTGATCTACAAGTACTCGTTTTTATCCATTTTCAATCACTTTCCATTCCCTACCAATGCAGGGCCTCATGCTGTCAGCTATGTCTCCTTTACCCTCTGGGTAGCACGCAGATTTCTTGGTACAGTATTACTCTTGTCACACGGTGCTGTGGAGTGGGACCAGAAGGGAAGGTGAGGCAGCGGCTTGGCAAGGGGTCAGGACTTTTCTATGCGCTTGCCTCAACTTCACATTTCCCATGACTGCAGCGACCAAAAATCAATGACCCAGGCGATCCCTCGCAGCCTGACAAATTAAACCACTAAACTGATTCCGTGTTCCCTTCAATCAGAACCCAGATATACCTCTCCCTTTCCTGACCAGCTTCCACACAGACCCGGTAGGCTGCCCCTTCCCTCCCTGAGAAGCCTGGCTGCTTGACACGGCAGCAGGGGGAACCTCCCGAGGCGGAGGCGGAGGAGGAGGGGGAGGAAGGCATAACCTCTCACCTCCCGGGCAGCGCAGGCCCCCCGGTCACACGAAAGCCGGTGAATCCGCTACCTGGCCACCCGCGGCAGACCGGCTGACCCCGGCGGCAGGGCCTCTCGCCCTCCCTGAGGGCCGCTTCCCCCCGCAGCTCCAGCTCGGCGCC